ATGGGAAAGCAAGTGAATAAATGTGTTACATGTAGGGCCATAACTGGAAGCAGATCTATACTGCAGTCAAGTATGAGACTGTAGTTCTGCAGACACAACCGAGCAGGCTTTTGGTGCAGGTACCTAGACCTATGTAGCTCAGTGAGGGCTGCGATAGAAGCTGGATGAACACAGAAGCAGCTGGCTACCCTTCAGAAATAGGACTATAAGGATGGTGATTCTGAAATAAATCTGGAATTTCACTTGCTCATAGGTAAAATTCTGAGTCCTCAGAGCTTAGGAAACACAGACAGAGAGAGGGAGCAACGGCATTAACTCCAAGTGTCCTAATTAGTTTAAATCCAATAATTATTTCTAATAGTTTTTGTATTAATTTCTAATTTAGATCAATTTTTGTGAACAATTTGTCCTGTCACTAAGTGGATGTGCTATTTTCAGTACTTGAATACTTTGTGGCTGAATTAAATCGGTGCACAGTTCCCAGGGGACATAAAAGTGCAGAGCTGATTCCTAATTTTCCCATATTAGCTCCTTTGAAACTTACTCAAACATTTGCAAAGAAGAAAAAACAGCTAAATTTCAGTTCTAACTACATTGTAACACACCTGTCACGCAGCTCCAGAGCTCTGCTGTGATCCATTTCCCTGTGCATGCTTTTCCTTTCTTGACAGAACTTGCTATCACCAGCAAGATTTTCAGGCTGTTAAAATTGATTAAAAATTATGACAGGGTACTTGTTAAAGTTGTTTTTTTTCCCCTCTCCTACTTCTGATATGGGACTACAAAAGCCTTATGAACGGTGAGTCATATAGCTAAGATTGCACAAACCTGGCCCAAAGCTGAACATAAATGTATTAATGAACAGTGAGAGATGAAAATAATACACTTAAATAGGTGGAATATAAGGTGAAAATCTCTGCTTTGCTTGCCTTAATTTATTCCATTAAATAATGTGATATATAGGCAATGTGTACACCTGAGTAGCTAGGAGGCAGTTTCTCAAAAAAAAAAAAAAAAAAAAAAGGCAGAAGAAAAGCTGTACAGGATACTTTACACAGTATTCAAGCAAATGTTATACAGACACTCAAAACACGTGTGAAATATTTAGGCATCCAAAATTACTCCTTGAATATCCTTCCTGGTAAGTCCTGAGTTGTTACTCTTCCATCATGTTGATTTATGCCACTTTCCTTGTCATCTTTCACAAATATGACTAAGTAGAGCTCTGTAAGTACTGATGCTTCTGAGGCACAGCCAGGTATTATTACAGGGGACGATCTGATGACTCAGTAGTTGCTGCCTTTCTCTTGAAGTATGCCTGAGCCAACATTCATTTCCCCTAATGCCATGACACTGTCAGAGGAGGTGCTGCACTTCAGATTAAATATGCACTTGAGATAGTTTATTAAAGCTAAACTTATCCCACAATCCGTGTAATAGCCAAACTTAGAAATTTCCCTTTTCTCTCTTACCTTTCAGTTCAAGAAGCCATGCTTCATACTTTTCCTTAACCCTTTCTTTTTGTGACATTGTGCCCATCTAATACCAATGATTTAACTCTAGAAGTGGTTGTATTTCACTGGTATATGAAAGGTATCTCTGCATCAGTTTCAATATGACCTGTAGACTCAAAAGGGGCATAGCAATATCACTATTCTAGAGAGGCTGGCATTAAGAAAGGGGATCTGAAAGGAACCTACTGGGTTGAACAATAATTTAATAGACATTTAACCTGTAAGGTTTAGGGAGTACTCTCTCCACGTAACTTATAAGACTCCAAATGCTTCTTCACACCACATAGTATACAATCCTTAGTGCAAAAGACGAAAAGCAAGAAAGCATACATGGGGAGAAATCTGCAAAGATTATCACCAGTGTCCTCGGTCCTTCCAGCAGAAGGAATCTCTTAGGCGAAAATGATTTTTAAGTAGTGCATCATATGGGCTGTAAAATAAAAAACCCAACTCTTCTTATTGATTCAACCTATGTGGAAAATTCCTTCTTCATGCCAGATATGGTGAGGGTTGTGATGCTGAGCATGAGACCAGCTGATCCGGGAGGGCGGGGGGCACTGAATGTGGGTGGCCAAAGAACTGGGGCAGGAATCGCTGGGTGTGGCGGGGTAAGAGTGAGCAGACACAGCAGGACCATCAGGGTGGCATTCAGGACATGGGGTGGGAGAGGCTGAATGGCAGGTCAGGTCATGAAACAGGTTAGGTGAGGTTCCTTGGGAGGGAAATTAACCTTGAGGTTCAGTGTGAACCTGATGCTTCAAACCCTAACCACTCCTCCGTTGACAGCAAATGTCTGCCAGCGTGCATGACACCTTCCCCTGCCTGTTGTCCCTTCACGCAAAGGACAACAACCCGGGGCTGCAGGCCATTTCTCTGCTAGCTCAAAGGAGAGGTCTTCATAATGGATCTAAAAGTTAAGCCTCACGTAGCAGCCCAAGCAGGTGTTAGTGTGATGCCACATGATGAAATATTGTTCCCTTTTTTTTTTTTTTTAACCTTGAAGGCACATACACATAAATTTACATACACATAATGTTCAGAAAGTATTACAAATTTTTCAGGAAGAAACACTCAAAAATTAAGAAAAGCTGTTATTAAAACCCTCCTGTGCAATCTTAATGTGATCCTTTTATATATTTGCAGTTTGGACTGAGTGGATGCATACCGATTTTTTTTCTAGGGGCACCTCAGTTGCAATAGAAAGGACAGACATTTGCAGGTTTTCTGGTTATAGTAGCTATAGAATAGAAACTTGATTTGCAGAAAACAGAAGACATGGGAAGAATGAGGCATGTGACAGCAAGAAAAAAAGGGTTGCTTTTGTTGTGAAGGCTGCTCTGAGTGCTATCTCTGCTCTCAACTACCGAAACCTTTTTTGACACAAAGCGAGTAACTTAAACCAACCTTCTCACGTGCTTTGTTTTCCCCTTGTGTTCTGGGTTCTTGTCTTGAGACCTTCTGGTCTGATTTGCACAACCGCTGAATGCTCAGCCACAGGGAGCTGAACACTGAGCTTGCAGAGTGCTGTACAACCCCAAGTGTTCTGAAAAATGAAGTTTTAAGCATCTCAAGTCGGATGCCTATAATGTATGAATACTTCTGAATGTAATCTCTGCATGTATCAGAACATCATTTGCATTCTGAGAGCTGTATCAACATAAAATAAATTAGTTAATGTTTGTGCAGCTCTCACACATTACAGTGATGAGCATCTTAGAAAACCTCATGAGGAAATTAATATTCTGTCTTCAGAGCAGGGTCTGAGCAACAAAGAGAAATGAAGTATTGAGTTAGCTGTTCATAAAATCTATTGAGTAAGGTAGGGTCTTTTAAAATAAAAATATACCTACGATGATTTAATTAATGTTTGCATTGTATTGCACATCCACAAAAGAGAAAAGTTAAGATCGCAAATATAACCAGAGTCCTGATATTTCCTGATTTTGCTTTCTTGCTTTTGCTGTCTCAAAACTTTTCTTTTAATGTACTCTTCCTTAAGTACCTATGACACTATACAAGGAAAAAATCTGCTACTTGCATAGCCAAAAAAATGTATTTTCAAATGCGGAGAAAAACTTTCTTACTTTTAAAAATTATGTAGTACCAATTACTGAATATGTAATTATTATGTTCTTAAAGAAAACATAGCCTAAGTTTATATTCCTGCAGTTCAGTGAGAGTGAGGAAGAGCTCTCCCTTACGCAGCAGCTGGGTTTCAAGGTGCACCCCTGCTTTGCAGCTGCACTTCCCTTTCAGTAATCGTCACGGCAGATAAGGGACTGCACAGGTCCTGACTGTGTAAAACAGCCTAGCTTGGCCTGGGAAAGCATGTTCAGACAGTTTTTGCCTGCATGGTTCAGAGTTGTCATTGGTGCCCATGGGACAGAATGAGGCCATTAGCACATTTGGCTTGGCCTGGCAGATCAAGTAGGTTTCCCGTTGTTGTGATGACAGATTTCATTCACGGACAGATAAAAACTTCTTTCTTAAGAAGGGGAATTCTCCTGAATATTCTGAAATCTGCTTTTTATGAGCAGCTGGGCTTGTATTAAGTGTTCATTAATTTTGAACACTCTGCACCTAATGTTCTGAGGACATACGCTGGAAAATCAGGAGCTTATGATGAGTTACTACAGAGTCAGCAAATGTGGTAAAATCTGATATCCTCTTTTAAGTTAATCTTATTAGTCGTACAGACCTTATACTGCTTACAGACCACAGCAGCTTTGACTGTTCCATAATAACCCAGCCTTCAGTTGCCACACTGCCCTTCTCTGTAAGCCAGAGGAAACAGCCCAGGTGTGTAACTATCATTTTGTATATCAATGACCTACTTCTTATGCCATAGCTATCTCCAAACTGCCTAAATACCTCGTAAGAAATTAAATTAAAGCAGTTAACCTGTTTGGTGTACAGAAATGACTGTATGCATGTGGGGGTAATCAAAGCGGGGAAAAATTCAACCCTCTTCACCTGGACCTTTCATTATACATCACAGGGAGGGGAAGGAACCCCAGGCTGCCCAAGAAAGCCAAGCTGGTGGCACCCGTGCAATGGAAATGGGATCCAGCGTATTGTAGACTAGGGTGTTGAGCTTTACTGAGTATACTGAAGCAAAACAATAGCATGTTAGCCTCACCTGGTCACAGCTAATTAGACTTGCAAAGGCACTTAGCAGCAGTTCTCCATTGTGAAGGTTATAAGCACACAAATGGAAAGTGGCAGTAGCCTGTCAGACAGAAACTTCTGAGGTGTACTGCTTGGAGAGTTAATTGGGCGTAGTTTGCAGTTATATCTAGGTAAACACTGCATCTGTAAGGCAATAGTGCCAGTCAATTATGCTGACAATTAAAATGCAAAAGATGATTTAAGGTAGACAAATTAATCTCCCATTCACGCTGTGGGTGGAGTATGAGTTCAGTCTCGCACTAGGGTAGGACACTGGAGAACCCAGATGAGATATGGCTACGTTCACCTATTAAGGGTGCATTGTAGGATCGGGTTCATGGCCACAAGGGCTGGACAAGTAGTGAGCTATTTTTAATGTAATTAAAATACCTTCTACTGAAAGACTCTTAAGAGATCAGATTTCACCTTTACCTGTTTGTTTTTGAAAAATATCCAAATTTTCCAATAGATCCAACAGATCTTCTGTTTTATTTGATGGGGGGGGGTGTTCTGTGTCTTTCTTCATAATATTTAAATATTTTAATAATATTTGCTTATTTAAATTACTGCAATTCTGGAATCTCCATTAACAGAGCTAAATCATGATTTATGAATGACTCACAGTTGCCCCAAAACCAGTGTTTAAGTCAGCATTTTGGACTTAATTGGTATCAGTAGGATAGTGTAAAACTGTAAAGAATAAATCTGTTTTATCGGTATGTATTTAGAGCAGCAATGAATATTGGATTTGTAATTTCCTATGGTTCTTAGAGGACTTCTACAGGGAGAACTCCTTTTCTGAACTCTCTGCGCTTTTCTGTTCCCAGAAGAACAATGCTTGTTGATATCAGGTTTTTTATTATTGATCTGCTCAGTATAAAGACCTCTTTCATCTTCACATTTCATTTTTCTGTCTTTTTGCTTTCATCCGGCTTTGTGTTTAGTACACGGTGTGGACTGCCCTGTGGGTCACCTGGAATGTTTTCATTATCTGCTTCTATTTGGAAGTAGGCGGACTTTCTAAGGTAGGTCACTTATCCTTCTTCAGGTTTATGGGAGGGTGTTTTAACAGCAGAACTCTCAGATTTTAGAAGGCTGGAATCACAGAGGAAAAATGTAGTTGTTTGAACATACAGTTTGACCTTTGGAGTTCCCCTCCGATGAGAACTCCAGTGTTTGAACTTTTCTCTGATAGTAAATAGTCATGGGTTTGAAGTACATAAATGCAATGAATCTGAATTACAGTTGCCTTCTGAAGTACGATCGGGGGTGGGGAGCGGGGGATAAACATGTTATTCAGTGGAAAATCTGAGGTTCTTTTTGATTGTTGAAAAACAGACAACGTCATTTTGGTTGAATTTTCAAGTGTGTTTGAAAAATGTATCTGAATTTCCGAGTCTACTTTGAAAGCAGCTAAAGAAAACTACTAAGAAGGTTAGTGTAATAACTTGTTGAGCAAATTGGTCTCACGGTGAGAATGTTAATTCTTTATAAAAAAGCACAAATGGCAAAGGATGACTTTTCCACATCTGAATAAAACTTTCCTTTACATGACACTCAATGCTCTAGGTCACTGATTCCTTATTCAAACTTCCTATTAGAGCAGAAATGTTTGCTGGAAGCATCGAGATACATGTTGCGTTTGTACAAAGTAGCACTTACGTTAGCGTAGGTTGTATTTAGCATTGTATCTACAGTGAGTTCCATACAACTTCTTCTGCAGGTTTTTATCCTCCTGTTAGGCATAGATGATATTGATCTTTGTTTACCACATTCATACTTAAATGATTCCAGGCACGGTATGCCCATAGCGCAAGCGGATTCTGGTATTATTAATAGAATAAATGTCCCCGTTATTAGTTGTAGATTTAGTGATATGAACTTCATCACTGTTAATTCATGCAATACTTTTAGAGAATTGTGAACTCCACTCAGTTCAGATGGGAACATTTGTGAGCTACATACTTTTTTGGGTTCAGCATTAAAGCTCCTAGCTTTTGGCTAACAACAAACAGAAAACTGATGAAACCAATTTAATAAGAAATAAAATTTAATTTACCCAGTTAAAATTCCATTAAAATTAAAGGTTTCAGTGGTAGATTCCTCTGGTGATAAAATTTCATAATGAAAAGCTACAACAGTTTAGTTTTTCTCCAAATATGGTGTAGTTCACCAGAAGTCATAGGCTTGATGAGGAAATTAATGCATTTCATAGACGATCAAAACAAATGATCGTATTGGTATATTCTGACTTAAAAATCTATTAGATGAAGGAAGAGCAACACATGGAAGTGATGAATGCCAAAGCAATTGTTCATTTTCATTATACATACAGTTTGTATTTTTTCAATCAGTTGGGTGATGACTGTTTTTATAGTGACTATTATATTTTTATTGATAACTAGTGTTTTTATCTCAGTGCCTAGGAAGTGAAGCAAAACTTTTAGTCTGACCCGAGTTTGAAAATTTGAGTTGTCTTTCCATTGATTGCAAAGCATTCTGATCATATCCTTAGTGTAAGGGGATTATAAACCAGCAAGTATGAGCTGAAATCTTGTATCTTCCAGTTTCAGCAGTGTGTTTCACTTTTAGGTCTTCTTACTTAACATATATGACAAATCACAATGCAGAGAAATAGTAGCACAAATACTACTCAGCAATGATTATATTATTTAGAATATACTTATAATGATGATAATACTTTTATTAGTATGTATTTCAGTTGATCTCAGAATTTTGGTGGCATTTTTATCTTGTGGTTTATAATTACAACATTTGAAAAGTAGTTTCTCAAGGAGGCGATAGACACAAAATTATTTCTGTAGAAGTTGACTGCTTTTGTATAGATTACATCAAAGGCACTAGGATCGGGACCGAGTTAGTAATGATAGAATCAAGAATTTTGTTCAGTAAACCGTGGAATTTGGGGACCATTTAATGCTGTTTCTGAAAACTATGCTAGAGATTATATGGTCATCAAGAGACTGAGGTCTTTTTGCACCATATGCAGAAAATCCTGGGTATTTACAAATTGATGGGTATTTGACACTGACTTAATTGGGACCCACATTTCACCCAACGTGCTAGCTTAAAAATTTCATCATTGCTTTCCATGAATATGTTCCTGTGTTGTCAGGCATGACAGAAAGGTGCTGTTATCAAGGTACGTTACTGTGGTTGGGAAATCAAACGCCATCAGAAGCTTTTCAAGGATGGCTATTTTCCCAGCGTTGAAATCTTGGCAGGGAGTATTCACCTTGTTTCTTGCTATTGTTCTATTTTTCCATTTTAAAAAAGGATTTGTTACTGAAATGAATATAGATTGATTATAATTTTTAACTTCTGTTGACATACTATCAGGGAAAATTATGATGCTGTCTGGCAGCTGACTGATTTCTCTTGGTTTGTTTGTTTTTAAGCACTATCATGTTTATATTTTCTCTGACCAGAAGCAGAGTTAGCCGTTGCCTGGAGTCCTGTGAATTTATTAGGTCTCTGATTATGAATACTATCAGAAAATATAACTTGGTGCAATATTAAATGGTAATTTTAATTCAATGTCTTCACATGGAGTACGCATACAACGTGGACAGACTTTTCAAATGTCCTAATAAAAACCCCCCACCGCTGAAATCTTGCTCAGATCTTATTCTTGTGGTGGAAAGGAAAATCTCCTTTGAATATTCTCTGTTTGAATTCTGCCAAGAATTTCCACTACTGTTAATGGAAAATTTAAATAAGAAGGATATAGGTAATTTAGGCCTGTTCTTTGCTGTGAGAGTTTGAAGGAAACATTTTTCCTTCAATTATAATGCATAATGTTCAGATTTTCCTGGTAAACAGATTTTTTTTTTTTTTTAAAGGAACAGCTTGGTATTTAGTTTAAAGTTTATGGATCTAGTACACCAAGATCTTTAAACTTTTCCTGGTAAAGAACTACGAAAACTTCTGCCAGGTACCCTCCCAGTGTCAAACACAATGTATGTGACTTAATCCTTTCCATTATTTCAGAAAAGTATGATGTTTCTTCACAAGAGTGACATGGAAAACCTGTATAGTTTTAGTTGAAAACACATTTCATGTTTTAAAATAATTTGGGGGGGGGAAGGCAATTTCATACATACCCAAATGCCCACCAAAGTTTGTTTTTAATTAATTTGGAGGGCCAAACTGGTAAACCTGAGGGGAGGAAGCTGATGGGGAGGGGTAAGCTGAGAACTGGAAGACTGTATGTATGGCTGTAGGCTTGTCATTGAGGAATTCACTTGGGTTTCAGTCCCTGCTCCGATTAATATCATATTATTTTATATAAAGAGGGAAAGCATCACAGAAGAGCTTTTTCTGAAAGCACCCCCAATAACTACAGTATGGTAGTTAGGGCAATCTCCTGGGAAAAGGATGATATGGATTGAAGTTGTCTCGGGTGTGAAAGGGAAATAAACCTGGCTCTCCCACAGCTGGGTGTTGTAAGTAGAAAGCTAATGAGTAAAGGTTTCCTTTCTAACTACCTTATAAACAATGTATAAGTGACGCTCTTTTTTCACTTGTTACAGATGTGCGAATAAAATTTTAATGCTTTTTCAGGGCTGAGGAAATTGTATTTGATCAGAAATAAAATAAATATAACCCTATGACTCTTTTTTTGTTTGTGTTAACTTAGGGTTTTTTAATTCTTTTTTTCATTTCTGATTTTAGCAGTGAAAAAGCTGCCAGTATGAAGAATGAAATTTGCCTGTATTTTTTGTTTACTACTTTTATAAAATTCAAAGCATAATTTTTAGTGTTAACCACTCTGTATGAGAGAAACAAAGCTGCTATTATAACATGATACTTTAATCCTCCACTGCAGGACGACAGATTGCTACATCCATACATGAGCTCATTAGTTGTTTGGATCTTATTCTATGTCTTGAAATGAAAATGTGTTCTAATTGCCACGTTCGAGGGTGTAGACAATTTCAAATGTATAGACATAAACACAAATCTCAAGGCAATAAGAGGCAAAAAAAAATACTCCAAAGCACATTTGCAAATAAAGTTTGATTGTGTCTTACCTGATACAATACCAGAAGCTGTTATTTTGAAGTTTTTTATGTTATTCTTAAATACGGACAAGAGAACTGCTAACTTGTATAAGCCAGCCCTCCATCCCCAGCAACACATTTTTATGTACTTCTTATGTTACAAAGGAGACCTCATTTATTTAGTTTGCACTGTTAATATTTCTATCATTTGTATCCCTCCAGTATTTCAGATCCAGTATGAGAATAGCTGTGTTTCCTTGTATTTATCATTCACTCTGCCAGCTGATACTTTTTGATAGACCATTTTTCTACTGCTTGTTTTATGGTGGGTTACAGTGACATTTGTTTGCACATGTTACTGCCTTTACCGAGTAAATGTATAGCAGCCCCCCAGTACTGCGTACTCCTTTCTTGTTGTTTGATATACCTTACCTAAGCAGCTGGGCAAGATCAATGAGCTCTTTTCTTTTTCTATGATGTATCTGCTTGTTCTGCCCAGTTTTTCTGTGGCATGCTTCTTGAGCATGAACTTTGCTTCATTCTGGATTATTTTAAGTTTAGCTCTCAAGGTTGAGCTCTCTGTCAACTACATCTGTTGTATTGCTTTTAGCCAAGGATTTGCATGACAAACACTCATATTCAGTAGGAAACTGCTTCTAAAACAGCTTACGTTTATTATGTGGTCCTTATTTTTAGGTCTTGAATTTAGGTGAATGTGAACTGAAAAAAATGCCTGTATGAAAACTGAAATTTGCCTGTGTTTTTCAATTACTAGTTCTTACGTCTGTAACTTGAGAACTTGGTACTGGGTTGGGGCAATCCCAAACATGGATACAGGCTGGGTGATGAGTCGATTGAGAGCGGCCCTGCAGAGAAGGACTTGGGGATACCGGTGGATGAAAAACTGAATATGAGCTGGCAATGTGCACTCGCAGCCCAGAAGGCCAACTGTATCCTGGGCTGCATCACAAGAAGCGTGGCCAGCAGGTTGAGGGAGGGGA